TCCTCCTCTGCACACCGATGGCTAGGCGTGCCACCAAAACAGGCTGGCCTCTGGGGATAGTGTGGGCCCGCCCACCCATCGGAAGCTCAGCAGTTCTCCAAGTGCAGCCAGGATGGGGAGGTGGATGTAGAGGCCTCTAACCCACTACTCCACTTCACTGCACCCAGAAGCCTGGAGGGTCCGGAACAGTCTGAGATTTGGGCAGAGTGTCCTGAGCACTCACCACAGGCCACGGTGCCTCAGGAACCTGCGATCCCTCCCTGCTTGCAGAGATATCCACAGTCCTCCAGACACACGGAGGGGCCGATCCAGGCACCCCAGATCTGCTCAGCTCCTACTCTGTACACCGATGGCTAGGCCGATGCCTTAATTTCTATGAGAAGTAAGAGAGACATATGGTACAAAGGATCTAACTTAGGAATAGAAGGGTGTTTATAGAATTAGAGTTAAGAAAAAACTGATTACATGTAAAAAAGAAAAAGTTGTAAAAAGCTATATAGGGATTAAAATAAGAAAAAGTTAAAGATTAAAAGGGGATGAAGGCTGGGGATATAGCTCAGTGGCACAGTGCCTGTCAGGCAAGGGCAAGGTCGTGAGTTCAATTCCTGGTACCAAAAAAAAAATAAATAAAATAAAAAGATGAAGAGGAAAAAATAACAAAAAAAAGATGAGAAGTAAGGAAAAATGGCAAAGGAAAGTTCTTCAAGCCTTAACAAACTGATGAAAAAGGAAAGATAAAAGGAAAGATGAAAAAACTAGGGGAAAAAACGCTTCACAACCCCCTCCCCAAAAAAAACCCAAAATGCAAATAAATAGCAACAATAAACTCACAAAAACAGAAGAAAAAAATTTCTCAGTGATACTATGTTTTTTTTTTTTTCTTTCAAGTTCTACAGTTCTGGAGCAGTGTCCATATTAACATTGATAAAGAAGGCAGTCCAACCCCAGATTTGTGCTGTATTCAGACACCAGCAAGCAGTAGGATTAGGATGAGGATGCCAGTGTCATGAATTTAAAATCCAGAGTAGTTTAGGCTGAGCTTAGCCTCTGGTTGTGGGGGCAGAGCCCATGTGATTTAGCTTAAATCCCTTAGAACTCTCTGGCCTGACTACAGTGTGCTGACAATGGCTGTCTATGGGGCTGTCTCTCATCCAGCCACTATGGGCCCTGAATTGAAGTCATTCTGGTGCTGATCTGAGTCTCAGGTTCAAATAGTCAACTCTTCCCCAGAATGGCATCCAACCAAGCACTCTTTTTAGGGGTTATGTCAGATACATGGACAACAGTCACCAACTGTTGCAGGTCTAAGAACTCATGTGGGAACAGAAACCCACACTTTCCTTGCAGCTCACAGCACCCACCAGTCTGTTTCACCACCATGTTACTCTGAATCCCACTGAAGTGTCAAGCTTTTACTTTCTTGCTAAAGGTTCAGTCTTTCTGTATCATGAGCCATGAACCAGGAACTGTGGAGAAAGTACAGATTGTCTCTTCCCTTTTCTGCATTGTTTTCTGTCTCTTCAAATTCTCTGTAGGTTTTAATTTTCCTGTCAGATTCTTCCTTGTTATTGGAGAGTACTTCTCTCTTTTCTTCCCAAATTACTATTTTTCAGGGTCTGTATTCTGAATCTTGGATAGGCTAAGTTGTTCTTTCCTGCTCCCTCACTTTCTCAGAAGTCTATAGATAGCACATTTTCATTTATCACTTCATCATTTGTTGTGCATACAAGCTACTTGCATAATTTATTTATGAATTGTGCTGCTATAAAGATTGGTATGTATGTGTCTCTTTAAACTGATGTCCATGCCTCTTTTTGGAAGATATGTAAAAAGGGAATAGCTGGGCCTAATTCTATTTCTTTGAGGAATTTTCATAATATTCTCACTGACAATGTAAGAAGGTCCCTTTTTCACAGCAGTGAGTTTAGCATTTGTTATTATTTGATTTCCTAATGATTGCCATTCTGTCTGGTGGAAGATGAAATCTTAATATTCTTGTACTTTGTGTTTCTCTAATAACCAATGATGTTGGTTATTTTTTCATGTGTTTCTTGACTGTTACTGTTCTGAAAAATGTCTATTCTCTTCACTTGCCCATTTTTGAAATTGACTCTTTCATTTTGTGGGGTCTATTTTATTTTATTTTTTTAGTTCTTTATATATTCTAGATATTAGCCTTTAGCCTAAGAAATAGCTGGCAAAATCTTTTTCTCATGCTGTAAGTTGTCTCTTTGCTGATTATTTCCTTTGCTGTGCAGAAGGTTTTTAATTTGATATAATAATATTTATTGATTTCTGGTACTATTTGTTGTATAATTTGAGTTCTGTTCTGAAAGTCCTTGCCTACACTGCTGAATACAAGGTTTCACCTATTTTATCTTCCAATAGGTTCACTGGTTTGGTGTCAATGTTTATACTTTTGATCCATTTTGATTTTAGTTTAGTACATGGTAAGAGGTATGGATCCAGCTTCAATCTTCTGCAGACAGATAGTCAGTTTTCCCAGAATAATTTGTTAAATAGGCTGTCTTTCCTCCAAAGTATGTTTTTGGCTCATTTGTCAAAGATCAAATAGTTGAAAGTGTCTGGGAATGTTTCTGTGTCCTCTCTTCTGTTCCATTGATCTATGTGTCTGTTATTGTGCCAGTAACATGTTATTTTTATCATTGTTGCTTTGTAGTGTAACTTCTATTTAGGAGTTGCGATGCTTGCTTTGTTCTTGTTGCCCAGAAGAGCTTTTGCTATTCTGGGTCTCTTCTGGTTTCATTTGAATTTTATTATTATTTTCTCTAGTTCTGTGAGAAATGATGTTGGTATTTTGATTTTGAATGTATTGAAGCTTTATATCAGTTTAGGAAATATTGGCACTTTAATAATGTTGGTTCTGGGTGTCCAGGAACAAAGAACATCTTCCCATGTTCTGACATCTTCAGTCTTCTTTTTTAAGTCCTGAGTTTTCATTATAGAGGTTGGTTACTTCCTTGGTTAGGTTAGTTCTTAGATATTTATTTTTCCTTGATTATATTTTGAATGATATTGTTTTCCTAATTTCCTTTTCATTGAGTTCATTATTACAGTACATAAATGCTGTTAATTTTTGTGTGTTGAGTTTTGTATCCTGGTTCATTACTGAAATTGGTTACTCTTTGGTGGAATTCTTTGTGTTTTCTATATAGGGTATTATGTCATCTGCAGATAATGATAACTAGAATTTTTCCTTTCCTATATGTATCCCTTTTATTTCTTTCTCTTTCCCTATTGTTCTGGCTAATATTTTGAGTGCTGTGTTTTACAGAAATGGTGATAGTGGGCATCTTTATCTTATTCCTGATTTTAAAGGGATAGCTTCCCATTTTCCCCATTTAACGTAATATTGATCATTCGTTTGTCATGAGTGGCTTTTATCAGATTCAGGTATGGTCTTTGTATACCTTTTTTCCTGGGTTTTTATCATGAAGATGTTTGGGGTTTTGTGAAAATATTTTTTGAATCTATTTATATGATCATGTGGCTTTTGTCCTTGGTTCTGATTATGTGGTATATTACATTATTAATCTACATATATTAAAACATTCTTATAACCCTGGGATGACTAATTTTAGCTTTAACAATTTCAAGGAATTTTATCATTCAAACATATTAAACACAAAACAAATATTGATATATTCCATACAGCAAATGTATATCCTCTCTTTCCTTTTTTAAACAGAATATTGAGAGAAAGAAAGCTTCTGTCCAACAGGGAGACAGGTTCCCAAGTGGGTTGCCAAGGACACTTGTCTTTTCTAGGGACTTTTATAGAGCAAAACCACGAGGTGAGCCAGGTCCACAGTGGGGGAAAATGGTAACTCGTAAGGCAGGCAAGCATAAGGTGTGATAGAACTATGGTCAACCAGTAAGATTATGAGTGTAATTGCTTGGGTAAAATTGATTAAATTAAGATCCAATGGGAAAGTGTGTCATGTAGCAAGTGGGCCTGTGGGGGGCTGAGTTAGTGGCTCCTTCTGGCTTCCTCAAGGTGATCCATATGTATTTAGAATATCAACCTCTGATGTAGGGTATGGTTGCGTTTGTTTTGAGATCTGGCCTGAAGCAGAGGTGTCTGTTTCTCCCACAGATACAAGGTATATGGTCTTCTGCACTGGTTCCTTTGAGGGCCCAGCCCTGTCTGACTGCATATAATATTTCTATCTAACTCAGTTGCCTATAACACTCCCTGTTCTGAAGAAGTACCCTGAGCTGCTATGAGGGAGAAACAGGTGATGACCAATCTGACTTCTTCAGGCTGAAGGGACTTACAGTTGTTGGTTGACAGTCAGAGATACTGTATAGAGGATCTGTCTAAAGGCCTTCAATAGGCAACAGGCATTTTCATCTTGGGTAGGCATACAGCTTTAAGTCTGGAGGAGACAAAAGCAAGGAAATAAGTATGCTGGGGCCAAATAATAGAATTATTAGGATAATTATGAGTACAGTTAACAAAGATTTCCACCAAGCAAAGCTAGTAATGCCTTCCTATAGGGAGATTAAGGATAAGATCTAGGGAATTTTAGAGTCTGATATGTCATTGATCTGTCATCTAATATCTTGAACAGTTGTTGGGATATTAGCAGAAGAATCAGAATTGTACACAAAACATTCAGTTTTTACAATTGCAAAAATACTAACCTGTGCTGCTGTTAGAATGTCCAATGCCATCTGATTTTGGAGGATGGCATGTCTCATTAATTTTACTTCTTTATTTAGGAGAGACCAGCTGTGGTGTCATTTAAGGCCTGTTGAGTATAGTTAGGGCCTCTATATATATCATATAACTATCTCACTGGACAAGATCTGGTGGATCCCAGTAAAAAGAATCTAGCATATGTGTTACTGGTTTTTAATCTGTATGATTACTTGGGGTTTGGCATCATTTAGGCAAGATTAGTTTGATTACTTGGCTATATATATATATATATATATATATATATATATATATTACAATATTTAGACAGTATAAAACCTCTCCAGAAGGGGAGCTGGACTTTTAGGCATAACTTAAAGGAATGGTGAAGAGAAAGTTATTCCAGTTACAGTTTAAGGAAGACATTATTTGGTGACTGTTTTTATGGAAGTATGATGCCTGGAAGGACAGAATTGGAGAAGGATAAGGAGACATGTACCAATGTCCAGCAGTAGGCTGGTTTTTACCTCTCATCATGATTACTCAGGGCTGCTCTGTGGAGATTGTGGAAGTAATAGCAGGTAAATGTAGTTGTTGAGCTCTTCTTGGAGGCTTGAGAATCAGACTTAAGGTCTGTTTCTTTTAATGCTGCAACAAAGGCAGCCACTTTCTACTGGTCTCTCTTTGGCCTCCTGCTCATCACAGTTATCAAATACTGAGGAGGCACTTTTTACTAAAGTATCATGTGAACTATCTGGAGCAAAAGCTATCTTTTATAACTTTTCCCTAATATTTGAAATTGACTGAGTAATAAACATATCTTTAAGCAAAATCTGTCCTATCAAATCAGGATCTAGGGACATATGTTTTATTAGTGCCTATAATAAATGATCTAAGAAGTCAGAAGGTTTTCTCTCTACTGAAAAATAACTGTCAATTTAAAATAGCAGAAGGCTTGGTTTTTGTCCTTCTTAGACCCTTAGAAGTACACACTTGAAAATGTCTCCTGCTCCAATCTTGTTGCTAGGCCAGTAGGAGTCTTGGGTGGGAACTGCTTGTACGTGAAAACTGGGGGTTCCCCAGGCTGTTGATCTTCTGACTGTCTAAAATTAACAATATAATATTCATCTCCAAATGCAATAGCAGCTTGTAATGCTGTTTGTGTCTCATTAGAAGTCAATGTTTGATTTAAGTGTAACATTACAGCTTTCCAATCTAGCTCATAGCTCTAAGTAAGTCATCTAAGGACATTGATGTACTTTATCAGAGTCATCTGAAAATTTTGCAGAAATGTTTTTTAATCTGTTTTAAGTCACTGAGAGAAAATGGCACATGAATTCCAGAAGTTCCAAATTGTCCATTTACTCCCTGTCAAGGATACTGTCCTTGAGGAGCTTGCATAAACTCAGCTAAGGATGGGTATGTCCCTGTGGAGGCCTGAATTACAGCTGGTCTAGAAGCCTCTTCCTTAAGATTGGAAGGGCAGGTAGGGGAAACCTTAGGTTCAGTAATAGTGAGTGTGGTTTTAATTAAGGCTGTCTTGTTCTCAAATTCCAAAGTTTAGGGAAGAACAGTCTCAGGCTCCAGAGTAGTAAATGCTTTAAGGGCCTGAGGTACTTGGTTTTCCTGTGGCTCATATTTACATTTAGAATATCAATAAAGAATATTTCTCAATGCAGAGAAAGTCTAAACATAAGACAATTCTGACCATTTCCCCCTCTTTTTTATAGTATGCCTCTAGTTGTAAAATAGTAAAATATTGCTTTTGTTCATTGAAGAGGGCATATGTAAAAACATGAGTTGGAAGTAAAGCAGTTCTTTGTACTGTGAAGGAGATCTCCTGAGATACAGGCAACAAATAACTTGGGGAATTCTGCCCTGGGCCCTAGGGCAAAGAAGTCTCTAAGACACTTATGTCATCCATCTCTACCTAGCTAACCTTTCCTAGCAACAGGACAATGCTATGCTTTATTTAAATTTTTATGTTTTTGAAGCTCACAGTGTAAATATATTATCTAGCAATCACATTTTATGTTAGCAAAGGCACACCACTTTTCTATGCACACATGAAAGGGCTGAGTATTTACTCTTAGTTAACATATGTAAAGCATAAATGTAAATCATTTCCCTAGTTTGCTGTGAAATGTAAACAATTGTTGCTAGCTGCCTCCACCTATCTCTGAAGGGAAAAGTAGGCTAGGTGATTTTAAAATCCACTAAAAAGCTTTAGGAGAGTTTCTAATCTACTAGTAGAGATATAATTATGATAGATAAATGGAGATTAATCTCTAGCTGGGAGCCAGTATCTACTGAGGAACCTTTGGGTGTCTTAGCCATGACACCTCAGTACTTTTCAGTTTCTATTGGGCCAGAGGTTGTACTCCAGAATCTAGCTGTCTGTCTGGTCAACATTCATTGGCCATTGACTTCAATGGGGATTCACCAAAGAGATGCTAAGGAAACCTGACCTATTCTTTAAGAATGGAAGCTGCTCTAAGAGTGTTTAATTAGCTGGCAGAGTAACCATTGTTTGCCAGAGTTCTATAAGGGATAGTTAAAGGCCTGAGCAAGGACAGTATATCTTTGGTAAATTTGTTATTTATGTTTTGAACTGATTTGGTTAGAATTTTCTGGTTTTTCCCACTCAAATCCCTGTTTGTTTGATAAATCTATAAAATTTGGGATTGTGTTCTCTTTGAACTTCTCTCTTCTTTAAACAATTCATAGAATTCTGCTACCTGGTATCTGTTTTCCTTTCCATTGGTGCCCTTTAGATTTGCCTTGGGAGAGGTTAGAGAGACTTCCATTACCTTGTTTTCTCATGTTCATTTGTGTAAATATATTTAAATATGCTTTCTACCCTTTGAAGCTGAGAGTTGAGGTCTAGTAGAGTGAGGAGAGATTGCAGTGTATATGAAGATCTTTTTGGTCATATTTTGACTTCTGATGATACATTTGCTACTTTACTTGTCAACAGATAGTATTCACCTCTTTGGCTATTTAGTTTAAATGCTTTGGACTCTGAAACTTTGTTGTGAGGAATAAATTACTACTGGTTATATCAGCATCAACAGATCTAATCATACATTTTATTTATTTATTTATTTGGTGCTGAGGATCGAACTCATGATCTCACACTTGCTAGGCAGGTGCTTATGCCATTTAGCTAAATCCCTGGCAAGACCCTACATTTATATTCCTCTCCTTTATAACTTGTGCTGTATGTTATTAGTAATCTTTTTACTGGGTTTTGGGGTCCTGGAGTCTCCTTCTGCAGGTGGTTTCTAGGTTCTTTTCCATCTCAAACAGAAAATTGAATGATGTAAGCAAAAATGTTGGCAAAGTTTTATATTCATTTGAGGCAGGAAAACTTAAAGAGAAAAAATTAAAAATGAAGGATAAGGGAGAAGCTTTCTCTGCAGAGTCAGTTTGGGTCAAGTAAAAATAAAAAATAACAGGAAAAGGAGAAATAAAAGTACACCATAGAGAATATAACGAAGGCTAATGGGGGGTGGCATGTTAGCAAGATCTACATGGCATCTTGTCTTTTTAGTCATGCCACACATTGTGGGTTCTTGGAAGAGGTCCATATATTAAGTTCTGAGAATTTTTTTTGCTTATGTGTCCTTTTATCTGGTCATCCCTCCCTTCCCAACCAGTCTAAAACATGCCATATTTTCATATCTCAGTCTGAGATGTGGAGGGAGAAAGCTGAGAAACAGATGGAAGGATGTGTGAAAAGCAGCATGTAAGCAAGTAGAGGGAAAAGTAAATAATATTACTAGGTTAAAAATTGGGTGAAGGTCAGTTCTGTTGGAGATCTTTTGTATTTGGGTTGTGCATTTAGTGTTGAGGATTTTGAGAAGAACTTGTGGAGCACAGGATATTAAAGAAGAGATATATAATTTGACATTGAGAATAGCTACAGAGTCATCAGAACTTGTTGATATAATTGTGTACTTATAAGGTGGAGAAGGTGCAAGAGAAGACAACAGACTAGGTAAGATAAGGAAGAGCCAAAAGAATAGAGCAGCTGGGCATGGTGGCACATATTTGTAATCCAGCACTGGGAAGGCTGAAAGGAGTACTACTGTGAGTTAGAGATCAGCCTCATCTACATTAGTGAATTCAAGACCACCAACATGGTGTTCTGATAGGGGATCTAGAGAGGGTGCCTGCTGGGGCAGGCATGGGGGGCTAAGTGGAGCCTCAGGTGGTCCTGCGGCATAAGACAGAGACTTGGAGGATGGGGATTTAGTTCAGCGCCATAAGCATCTGCCTGGCAAGCGCTAGGTTGTGAGTTCAAAGTTCAATCCCTGGTACCAAAAAAAAAAAAAAAAAAAAAAAGACTGGAATTGTTTGGCACAGCATTAGTATTTCAGCCAGGGATTTAGCTCAATGGCATATTTGCCTGCCTGATAAGCTTGAGATCACAAGTTTGACCCCTGGTACCAAACAACAACAACAAAGACAGAGACTTGGGTTGGCCCAGGTCTCTGGTGATCCAGGCAGGAGCAGGTGGCTGCACTGACTCAGTGAACACCATTCCTTTGTTCATCCTCTCTTTTCCCAGAGTTGGGGAGTGAGGAGGACAAGCTTTCCCTGCTCTTGTTGAACACTGGTGAAGATGCTGCAGGTGCAGCTTCTTCTGTATTTGGAGAGGGGATAATGGGGAAAAGAGGCCCATCTGTCCAGTCTTTCCTGGGAGACCAGTCTCTGAAATGCTCTTTGGTTCCCTCTGGGAGTTTGGGAAATTCTTAAAATAGCTACTCCCCAGATGAGTGGGATTGGGGGCAGTGTGGAATGGGCTTAACAGAGCCATTTCCTCTTTTTAAACTATCCAGATATTTGGTTTAATCTACATATATGTTCTTTAAAATTAATTTTTTTGTATCAAGTGTAAGTTCCCTTATACCCTTTTCTGGTACTTGTATTTTCAGTAAATCTTCCGAGTATCTGTTTTGACTCTTCCTCTAATCAGCCATATTGGATTTTGAATTCATATTCTTTAAGTTGATATAACCTACACATAGAGAGCAGCAAAAATTGTTTTTTTATAGAGGTACTAGGAATCAAACTCAGAGCCTTAGTCCTTTTTATTTTTAAATTTTGAGACACCTTCTCCCTAAGTCACTTAAGTTGCCCAGTGTGGGTTCAAACTTGTAATTGTCCTGTCCTCAGCTTCAGAGTCCTTGGATTACAGGTGTGTACCTCCATGCCCAGCCAAAGCAAAAACTTTAAAAGTACTGATTAATGAATGCAAAAGAGTTGAAATTATCCCATGCATGTTATCAGACAATAATGCCAGGAAACTAGAAATTAATGATAAAAGAAATTGCAAAAAACCCACAAACACATGGAAATTCAATAATACACTATTGAGCAATCAATGTGTCACAGGGGAAATTAAAGAAATTAAATAATACCTGCAAGCAAACAAAAATACAAATACAACTTACTGGAATCTGTGGGATGCAATGAAAGTGGTCCTCAGAGGAAAATTTATTGCACTGAGAGCCCACATCAGGAAAACAGAACGAATACAAATAAATAACCTGATACTATACCTCAAACATCTAGAAAAAAAAGAGCAAGTCAAGCCCAAAGCCAAAAGAAGGGAGGAAATTATAAAAATCAGAGCACAAATTAATGCAATAGAGACTAAGAAAACAATCCAAAGAATGAATGAATCAAAGAGTTGGTTCTTTGAAAGAATAAATAAAATTGATAAGCCCCTAGCCAACCTTATTTAAAACAGGAAAGAAAAAACTCAAATTCATGCAATAAGGAATGAAAAAGGTGAAATCACTACAAACTCTGTGGAAATACAGAAGATCATCAACACCTATTTCAGAAACCTGTACTCAGAGGTTCAATAACACAGAAGAAAAGGACAGATTCCTAGAATCCTAGAAGTACAAAAGCTGGGTCAAGAAGATGTAAAACTGCTGAATAACCCAATTTCTATTAATGAAATTGAAAATGTAATTAAATCCTTACCTACAAAGAAGAGCCCAGGCCCAGACAGATTCACTGCAGAATTCTACAAGACATACAAAGACTTAATGCTGACACTACTCAAACTCTTCAAGGAAATTGAAAGGGAAGCAATCCTTCCTAAGTCATTCCTGAAAGCAAATACTACTCTAGTACTAAAACCTGACAAAGACTCAAGTAAAAAAAGAGAACTACAAGCCAGTCTCCCTAATGAACATAGCAACAAAAATCCTCAATAAAATATTGGCCAACAGGATGCAACAAATCATCAAGAAGATTATATACCACAAACACGTGGGATTCATCCCAGGCATGCAGGGATGATTCAACATACGTAAGTCAATAAATGTAATCCACCATATCAATAGAGCCAAAAGTAAGACTCATATGATCATTTTATAAATGCAGAAAAAGCTTTTGATAAGATCTAACACTCATTCATGATAAGAGCCTTATAAATATTGGAATAGATGGTCTTTACCTCAATATAACAAAGGCCATTTATGACAAACCATCAGCCAGCATCATATTTAAATGGCCCAAAACTGAAGGCCTTTACCTTAAAATCAGGCACAAGACAAGTATGTCCCTTATCACCATTCCTATTCAACATAGTACTTGAAATTCTAGCCAGAGAAATTAGACAAGAGAGAGAAATAAAAGGGGTAAAGATACGGAAAGAAAAAGTTAAATTATCATTATTTACAGATGACATGATACTCTACATAGAAGACCCCCAAAACTCCATTGGAAGACTCCTAGGTATAATAAATAAATTCAGCAATGTAGCTGGATACAAAATCAATACTCAAAAATCAATACCATTCCTATACACTAACAACAAAATCACAGAGAGAGAAATAAGGGAAGCCACACCCTTCACACTAGCATACAAATAAATGAAATACTTAGGAATTAATCTCATGAAAGAAGTCAAAGATCTATAAAGGGAAAATTATAATACCCTGAAAAACAAATAGAAGAGGGTCTCAGAAAATGAAAAGGCATCCCTTATTCATGGATAGGAACAATAAGTATTGTGAAAATGGCCATTATCCCAAAACTGTTATACAGATTCAATGCAATCCCAATGAAAATATCATCAACATAACCTCATAGATCTAGAGAATTCACTCCTAAAATTCAGCTGGAACCACAAGAGACTTAGAATAGCAAAGGCAATTCTAAGCAGCAAAGGCAATTCTAAGCAGCAAAGGCAAGGCAGGAGGCATCTCAATTCCTGACTTGAAGATATACTACAAAGCTACTGTAATAAAATCAACATGGTACTGGAATAAAAACATCTAAAAATCAGTGGAATAGATTAGAAGATATAACCACAACTACAAACACACTCAACCACCTTATCTTTGCTAAAGGGGCCAGAACGTATATGTGCACCCGTGTTTATAGCAGCACAATTTGTAATAGCCAGATCTTGGAAACAACCTAAAGTGTTCATCAACTGAAGAATGGATAAAAAGATTTGGTATTTTTATACAATGGAGTACTATTGAGCTATAAAGAATGATCACACTGAGATACTTATAAATAAATGGATGCAACTTGAGACCATATGCATAAGGAAAACACACCAAACTCACATATATAAATACCGTATAGTCTCCCTAGTGTAAGAAGTGGTAAGTGTACATAAGATTTTATGGGAATCATGATTCCCCATTATACTGCTTTGAAGCCTTAAAATGTTTTCATTCATTAGTTGCAATGGTTTTATTCTGTTTTGTTTGATTTTATTATCTGTGATGCTATGAACAGCTATTTTGAAGAAAACAAGACATTATGATAGCCATTGCTGATTTGATATCATCTTACTTTGAAATCCTACCATGCTTTTGTTCTTCTGTTTCCATTGGTTCTATCATGTTGCATCTTATTGGATTTTAATATGTATGATAGTATAAACAAATTTTTATGGAAAATGCGATAATATAGTAGCCATTGTTCATTTTCTCTTATTTGGTTCTGAATGCCCTGTAACACTTTCATTCTATTGAATGGTTTTATTCTATTTTGTTATGTTTGATACTATTGTATGTGAAGGTATGCTCAACTATTTCAAAGAAAAGAGACATTATGGTAGCTACTGTTACCATCGGATTGTCTTGTGGTGAAGTACTGTGTTGCTTACATTGTTCTGATCTGCTTTGTTCTGTCCTTTTTGGTCTTAATCTCTTTAAAATAAAAAAGTTATAAATATATATGCATCAATCATCAGGACACCAATTATATAAAACAAATATTAATGGACTTGAAAAAAAAAGAAAAATTAGATAAACACTAATACAATTGTAATGGTGGACCTCAATACTGCAATGTCACAAATAGGTTAACTAGACAAAAAAAAAATCAAAGAGATCGCAGAGCTGAACTAAATCTTTTAACAAATGAACTTAGTAGATATTGCAGAGTTCACCTTCCCTCTCCCTCCACCTTCTCTCTCTCCTCCATCTCTTGGTCACCTTCATTGTTGTGAAAGGTCTATATCCCAGTTTCTTTTTATCTTTCATTTTTCCATATATTGTCATTTTCTCATATAATTGAAACCACGTGATATTTATGCTTGTATGTTTGGTTTATTGCAGTTAACTCTATAGTCACATGGTGTATCTCTTTTCCTACAAAAGACTCAAGTTTACTTTTCCTTATGGCATAATAATATTCCATTGCATATAAATATCACATTTTCTTTATCCATTCATCTTATGATGGACAGACAGGCCACTTCCAAAATTTACTTATTATGAGTTGATACCTTTGACTGTTTTAGGAAGATACATAGAAGGGGAATAGCATGAGGTGGGGTATATAGCTCAGTGACATAAGTGTCTGCCTAGCAAGTGCAGGGTCCTAAATTCAATTTCTGGTACAAAAAAAGGAATTGATAGGTAAAATTGAATTTGTAGTTTTAGTTTTTAAAGGAATATTCATATGGATTTCCATACTGGCAATACTAGTTTACATTCCCACCAACAATGTGGAACAGTTTCTTTTCCACTCAGCTCCCCCAGCATTTGTTATTATTTGATTTGTTGATGGTAGCCATTTTTTTCTGGGGTAAGACAGAATCTCAGTGTTGTTTTAATTTGCATTCCTCTATTGATTAATGGTGTTGAGGAATAATTCAATGGGCATTCATATTTCTTCTATGAAGTGTCTTCATTTTAGATGCCCATTTTTAAAATTTTTTTTCCTTTATAAAATCTTATTATTTGAGGTCTTTTTTAATTCTAGGTATTAGTTCTGGGTCTGAAAAATAGCTGACAATTTGCCATTCTATAGGTCATATCTTCATTCTGCTGGTTGTTTCCCTTGCCATATGGAAGCTTTTTAATTTGATATAGTCTGATTTGTTGATTCTTCATGTTATTTCTTGTGCAATTGATGTTCTCTTTATAAAGCCCTTGCCTATATCTATGTCTTCAACAGTTTTACTTGTTTTATCTGTGAGTAGATTAAGCATTGTCTTAACATTTAGATTTTGATCAACTTTTATTTTAGTACATGGTAATACAGATCTAGATTCATCTTCTGTATGTGGATAGCTAGTTTTCTTTGTACAGCTTGTTAAAGAGTTTACCCTTCCTCTAACCTGTGCTTTTGTCTCTTTTGTGAGTGATCAGATATTTGAATGTTCCTGAAGTTGTTTCTGTATCCTCCATTCTGTTCCATTGATCCACATTTCTGTTTTTGTGCCACTAGCATGCTGTTTATCACTGTTGCAACACATGGAACAGTGCTCTTACCTTTGTAAAATAACTTTGTAATATAACTCAAAATCTGGAATTATGATGCCTCCTTCTTTGCGCTTGTTGCTCAGAGTTGCTTTTGCTATTCTGGGTCTCCTCTAATTTCATATAAATTTTTGGATTGTTTTCTTTAGTTCTGTGAAGAATTTTACTGGTATTTTGTTTGGGATTGATGAAATATGTTCGTTTTGAAAGTATTGTCATTTTTACTAGATTGCCTGTCCAAGAAAAGGGTATATCTTCTTATAAAGAGACACTGAACCTAACAATGACAAAAGATCTAATAGAATGACTATATCAGGTAGGGTGAGCAGTTGAGTTCAAGGAAGAGATATGGAATCAGCAACAGAAAAATAAGACGATGATAAGATTAAGCCAGTAGCTACCAGTAATAACTCTCAATGTGAATGGTCCCAGTTACCCAATCAAAAGACACAGACTGGCAGAATGGATTAAGAACAAAATCCACTGGTATGCAGTGTACAAAAATCAAATTGAAACCAAAAAGAAACTCATAGGCTAAACTCAAAGGAAGGGAAAATTTCCATCAAATAGGAAACTCTCAAAAAGCAAATATAGCCACTGTATATTCAGAAAAAGTAGATTTCAAGCTAAAGTAGATGAACAGGGGCAAAGAAGATCACTGCATATTGGTTAAGGGAATAATTGAATGGGAAGTGATACCAATTACATATATACATGGAAGAACAGTGCACTCAACTTTGTAAAATAAGCACTACTGGACATGAACATAAAAGACATGAACATAACTACAAATATAGTGGATGACAACAAGGAAATATTAGTGTTCAATAAAACCTTAAAACACATGAATTTAATAGATATCTAGAAGTGTTCAACCCCAAAACAACAGAATACATATTTTTCTAAGCAACACATGGAAATTTCTCTAAAATAGATGACATACTAACCAATAAAGCAAACTTAAGCAGAAATAAAAGAATTGAAATTATTCCATGCATATTACCAGATCATAGTGCAATGAAACTAGAAATCAATAAAAAACCTTAATTTTGAAAATGTATGGAAATTTTAAAAATATGCTTAATTGGTGATTTACTGAAGAAATCAAAGAAAAAATAAAACAGCTTCTAGAACTAAATAATGGCAACACAATACATCAGAACTTATGCGGATATAAGGAGTTCTAAGAGGAAAGTTTATAGCTGTGAATGTTCAAGTCATAAAAAACAAATTATTCCAAGTAAATAGGGTTGCACCTCATTATCCTAGAAAAATAAGAACAATCCAAACCCAAATCTAAGCTAGGCATGGTGGCACATGCTGTAATACCAGCACTCGGGAAGCTGAGGTAGGAAATTCAAGGCCAGCCTAAGTTGCACAGTGAGATCTTGTCTCAAAAAGACAAAAAAAAATTCAATACAATTAGAAATGAAAAAGCTGAATTCATAACAGGCATTGTTGAAAATAAAAGATTATTAATCACTCTGCAAAACTGTAAGTAAAATATTGAAGGATCCAGAGGAAATGCATCAATTCCTATATACATATAAATTACCAAATGTTAACTAAGACAAATTGAAATCCCTGAATAAATCAGTAGCAGGCAATGAAATTCAAGCAGTAATGAAAAACCTACCAACCAAGAAAGGCCAGGTCCAGATGAATTCACTGCTGAGTTGCACAAAAACTTTAGCAAAAGTCTAACATAAATGTTTCTCAAATTCTTTAATAAAATTAAAAGGGAAACTGTCCCAAAATCATTCCTGAAATCTACCATTGCCTTGACTCCTAAACTAAACAAGGATTAACTAAAAAGGAGAACTATAAACCAGTCTCATTCATGAAAAAAGACACAAGAATCCTCAACAAGATATTGGTAAACAAAATGCAGTGAATCCTCAAAAAGATCATGTATCCTGACCAAGTAGGCCTTCATGCCAGAGATGCAAGAATGGTTCAACATATGCCAATAAATATGATATATCACATAAACAGAAGGACAAAAATCACATGATCATCTTAATAGACACAGAAAAAGCCTTTGACTGAATCTATCCTTTCATTATAAAAACACTGAAGAAAATAGGTATATAAAGACCTTATCCTAGTCTGACAAAAGCCATTTACGGCAAACCTACTGCCAATATTATATTAAAAGAGAAAGTGCTTAAAGCTTTCCTCATAAAATCAGAAACAAGTCAAGGCTGTCCATTATCATTACTTCTATTCAACATAGTACTTGAACATATCAAAAACAATTAAGCAAGAAAAAGAAAAGTGATATGTACAGAAGAGAAGAAGTCAAATTATCAGCATTTGCAGATGACATGATCCTGTATATACAACCCCCAAATCTACTAAAAGACCTTATAATTAATAATCAAACTTACTAATGTAGTAGAAAACAAAATCACATAAAAGTCAATAGTGTTCCTGTATACTAATACTGAACCCACTGAGGAATAAATTAGAAAAATATCATTTAGAATTAACTAAGGAAGGGAAAGACCTCTACAACAAAAACTGAAGTAAATCAAAGAGGACATCAGAAAATGGAAAGGAGCAGGCCCGGGGAGAGAGGAGCCCACTGCAGTGTTGGGGACAGATAAAGCCAAGGGCTCCGGTTTTCTTGACAAGCTCCCGCGGGTTTTCTTGCAAATCTGCATTTGGAATTTTAAAATTTTTCCTAAAATAATCCCCCCCCCATCTTTACTCCACATCCCTCGATCCCCTGAGCTTCCGGGCTCACAAAAGCCGGAGCCCACCCGGGCAAGCATCAATTCCAAGGAAAAAGAGATGATTTGGGGAAGATGATAACAGCTAAGCCAGGGAAAACACTGATTCAGGTATTACACGAATACGGCATGAAGTCCAAGAACATCCCGGTTTATGAATGTGAAAGATCTGATGTGCAAATACATGTGCCCACTTTCACCTTCAGAGTAACCGTTGGTGACATAACCTGCACAGGTGAAGGTACAAGTAAGAAGCTGGCAAAACACAGAGCTGCCAGAGGCTGCCATAAACAGTTTGAAAGCCAATGCAAGTATTTGCTTTGCAGTTCCTGACCCTTTAATGCCTGATCCTTCTAAGCAACCAAAGAATCAGCTTAATCCTATTGGTTCATTACAGGAACTGGCTATTCATCATGGATGGAGACTTCCAGAGTATACCCTTTCCCAGGAGGGAGGACCAGCTCCTAAGAGAGAATACACAACCATCTGCAGGCTAGAGTCATTTATGGAAACTGGAAAGGAGGCATCAAAAAAAAAAAAAAAAAAAACAAGCCAAGAGAAATGCTGCTGAGAAATTTCTTGCCAAATTTAGTAATATTTCTCCAGAGAACCATATTTCTCTAACGAATGTAGTAGGGCATTCCTTAGGATGCACTTGGCATTCCTTGAGGAATTCTCCTGGCGAAAAGATCAACTTACTGAAAAGAAGCCTCCTTAGTATTCTAAATACAGACTACATCCAGCTGCTTAGTGAAATTGCCAAGGAACAAGGCTTTAGCATAACATACTTGGATATAGAAGAACTCAGTGCCAATGGGCAGTATCAGTGTCTCGCCGAACTGTCAACCAGTCCTATCACGGTCTGTCACGGCTCGGGTATCTCCTGTGGCAATGCACAGAGTGACGCAGCTCACAATGCTCTGCAGTATTTGAAGATAATTGCAGAAAGGAAGTAAAGCTGGGGCACCTTAGAAAATCCTTCAGTAGCACTTTAAAGAGTTCTGTCACTCCTTCCCAAGTAAAACTTCTACTGTAATGTGAGTTGTTTCCAGATCTCTCCCAATTCATCAACACTCCAAATTTAATTATCTCCTGGTAGTTGTTACTAAGCTCTTTTTAATGGCTTCAACTTTGTATTGATATATTGTATTTATAAACTTTGTACCACAAGGCATGGTGTAGCACCCAGTCTACAGAGCCAGGCACATAGGAGGATGCTAATGATGGGAACAAAAGTACTGCTAGCAGCAGTCTTCCTGGTGCTTAAACTCTTGCACAAGGCTTTATAAAGGGAATTTGAAGGAAGTCCTTTAGGATTACAGTGTCAAGGGACAACATTAACCAGCTCTTATTGAATGTGACTTAAATTTCAGGAAACATGATTGGCCTGCTGTGTATTCAAAGCCATGTAATAAAGAGCTCTTGTTATAAAAAAAAAGAAAATGGAAAGATAGCCCCTATTTTTGGGTAGGCAGAATAAATATAGTCCAAATGGCCATATCATCAAAATTCATGCACAGATCTAAGGCTATCCCAATCAAAATACTAACAGCATTCTTCATAGAACTGGAGAAAATACTCCTAAAATTCATATGGAGCCAGAAGAGACTGAATGGGTTTTTGTTTTTTGTTTTGTTTTGTTTGGATTTGGTTTTGGTTTTTTCCTCCCTCATGGAAAAGCAAAGAACTGCATCAGGACTCAAAGAATCATCAGGATATGGAACCAGCAAGGAAAACATGGGTAACTGCTTCCAGAGCAGCCTTCCATAGTCAAAAGTTGGCTAAAGGGAGACCCAAAATAAGGTCTCATAAAATGTTATTTCTCAACTAACCCTGGTAGATACCACTGTAATAGATTAGTCTGTTATTACTGTAGCTGATTTTATTGTATAGAAATAATTCTAACTCAGTGAACAATTTTGTGGCAGTGACCCTATCTGCCCAATCTACCATCACATCCAAGGAGAGGGACAGCAAGATTTTCTAACCCAAGAACTTGGACTACATCAGACTCTGCAAGAATATCTGCAACGTGGCAGAAAGAAGTCTTGAGTCTGAGTTTCAGTATTATGGTAGAATAATCAGGAGTTATTGGGGTGCGAGCATTCAGATTCTCTGGAAAAGTGGCTACTCGGGAATCATGTATTCAATGTCTCATTGGAGTATTTAATCTGTGGTCCTATTGGATATTTTATAGGTTTTTTATATGTTTCTTTATTTAATAATGTGGGGCTATTTTATATCCTTTTGTGGTTTCCTACATTTATTAGATTGTTACATTTGTATATTTATTGTTTCATTGGCACAGACTTAACTAACAGAGGTTTAGATTTTCTCCCTTGTCTCAGCTCCCTATCCAGTTTCTTCACCTCAAAATCCCAACAATAATATTAACATATTTCTTTATTTTCCCAAACACATAAACTCCTCCTCACAGATTTTAACATTCCCCATATTTAGCTCCATTACAGCCACTCCTATCTTCTCAAGCATTATTCCTCAACCATCCCTATACTAAGCCTTTGGTTCTCCCATATCTCACTTAGCTTATTGTTCTTCCTATCAGCAAGTTCTGACACCCACATAGCTTTCCTCAATCACAAAGTAAAACCCATTTCTCCCGTACCTCCCGTTTCCCTACAAAATATCCTCTGAAAACTCAATACTAAACTTTCAATTCAAATAAAAGTAAATCCAATAAAATCAGAACAAACATCAAACTTTTCTTCTCACATACCACTTTCCTCTTTAAACCTCCCCCTTACTGTCTGACACTCATCCAACCACCCCCATTCACACCACTCCACTGCACCTACCTCATGATAGAGCAATAACAAATAATAAACTGTAATAGTGTGCATAGCAAATAGAAAAATGGGCAAAGTGTAACTGTAAGGACTATCATGTAGAAGTGTTGTAAGATTGAATCTATGGATACTACTATACATAGAAGCAATTCTTTTGGCAAAACACAGGGACAGAGTCAAAATCACTTAAATAACAGAGTACCACTGGATATACAATGCTAAAATTTATTTAAGAGGAGTCAATATCCTACTGGAAATCTGTATAAGCCATAAACTCTCCTCTAGTCCCCAACTTACAGTAAACCCCCCCAACAAAAGCAAGGTAAAAAAAGGGGGATATATATATGATATACATATATATATTATATATACATATATATTATATATATAACACAAATACACATAGGAGAATGGAAAAGCAAGGAACTGGAAGATCACCAGCCGCTTCAACTCTTCCCAAGGGGTCACAAAGCAAAAAGAAAGTTAATACCAGGTAACACCAATCTTTGAAAAGTTCTTAGAAGTGATGAAGAAGACAGATGAGTTCAATGAAGAAATCAACCAAAGGTTTATGGCAGTTACACTCAATATGCACATAGTGAATTTTTGAAAAATATGTAAAATACTGAACAAGCTAAGCAAAACCTTTCAAACTTTGAACAACTGATTCAAAAAGATACAGAATCCTCATAAAAATGTCAGAAAGAGCTCTACATCCCTCTCCCCATCCCGGCTGCACTTAGAGAACTGTGCAGCTTCCAACAAGTAGGCGGGCACACGCTATCCCCTGAGCCTAGCCTGTTTGGGACTCCCGCACCTCAACATTGGTGTGCAGAGGAGGGGCTGGGCGAATCTGGGGCACCTGCATCAGCCTCCCCGTGTGTCTGGAGGTCTGTGGATATCTCAGCAAGCAGGGGAGGATAGCAGGTTCCAGAGGCACCATGGCCTTGGTGAGTGCTCAGCGCACTCTGCCCAAAGCCCAGACTGTTTGGGACCCTCCAGGCTTCCGGGTGCAGTGAAGTGGAGAGGTGGGTTTGAGGCGGCTACAACTGCCTCCGCAACCCAGCTGCGCTTGGAGAGCTGTGGAGCGTCCAATGGGCAGGTGGGCGCACAGTGTCCCTGAGGCCCAGCTTATCTGGAACTGCAGAGTTCTAAACAGGCAGATGAGGGCCATTGGTTCTGCAGGCCCAGTGGCTTGGGGAAACGGGATGACAGAGTCTCAGTAGCTGCAAACATAGAAGGGGATTTCCAACAGACCCTGAGGAAGCTTTCAAATAACACGTGAAACACAGAAATATAGGAAAATGACAAAACGAAAGACCAAATTACAACCTCAAACCTCCAGCACATCTCAAGAAACCCTAGGAGCGATGTATATAGAAGAAAATATATGCCATTCACCTCAAATATCGGACACAATAGCTACTGAAATTAACAAGCAAATCCAGGAAGCTTTAAAGAAATTCAAGCTCAAAATAATCTCCCAGGTAAAAGAAGAAATGATAAAAGAAATGAAAGAGATTCTGAATATATCTAAAGAAAACACAGATAAAAAATTGGAGGAACTAAACAAAAAGAATCCCGAGACGAGCAATATAAGAAACAAACAGAATACATAATGCAGATGCACAGAGATATACAGGAAATAAAAAGCTCCACTGAAAGTTGTAAAAACCGCCTTAATGAAAGTGAAGATAGAATTTCAGACCTTGAAGACAGGATTGCAGCTAGTGAACAGGAAAGGAAAGATCTTTAAAAATAACAAGGAATCAGGAAACAACAATTCAACAACTGCAAGATGATGCAAAGAAAAATAACATAAGAGTGATAGGGATTAATGAAAAAGGAGACAACATAAAGGATGTCAAGAGGATATTTAGAGAAGTAATAGCTGAAAATTTCCCAAGCATGAGATCAGAAACTGACATCAGGATCAGTGAAGGATATAGAACTCCAAATAGTCATAACCAAAATAAAACTACACCCAGACATATAATAATCACCATCCCAGAAATCCAACAAAAGAATAGATTATTAAAAGCTGTCAGAGAGACAAGACAGATCACTTATAAAGGAAAACCTATCAGAATCACAGCAGACTTCGCAGCACAAACAATGAAGTCAAGAAGAGCATGGAGTGAAGTATTCCAGATCGTAAAGCAAAATGATTTCCAAACTAGACTGATGTATCCTGCAAAACTATCATTCAAAATTGATTGTGAAATACGATACTTCCATGACAAAGAACAGCTGAAGAACTTCATGAACACCAAATCAACCCTGTAAAAATATTGAAAGACAGTTTAGATACACAAAGGAAAAAACCACTAAGCAAAGCAGATAATTAAACAGAACAGAAAGATAAAGATGCAACAGCAGAGATAACATGTCAACAATAAACCAGCATTTAACAGTAATAACCATTAATGTAAATAAATGTTCTCAATGCAACAATCAAAAGAAACAGACTAGCAGAATGGATCAAGAAACAAAATCCAACCATATGCTGTTTACAGGAAACCCATCTAACCCAGAAGGATACTCACAGACTGAAAGTCAAAGGATGAAAAACAATATTTCATGCAGCAGGAATCCCAAAAAAAGCAGGAGTAGCCACTCTGCTGGCAGATAACGTGAACTTTAAACCAACAATGACCATAAAGGACAAAGAAGGTCACTACATACTCGTAAGGGGAAAACTCCAAGAGGAAGAGATAACTATCTTAAATATATATGCACCAAACTCCAGAGCACCCAGTTATATAAAACAACTATTAACAGAAATGAAAACTCAAATTATCAGTAACACAATTGAAACAGGAGACCTTAATACGCCATTGACACCAAGGGACAGATCAACCAGACAGAAAATGAGCAAAGAAATAACAAAACTGAATCACACCTGCGAACAAATGGATTTGATAGACATATACAGAATATTCCACCCAACAACATCAGAATGCACATTCTTCTCAGCAGTACATGGATCATTCTCTAAAATAGACCATATATTAGCTCACAGAACATATTTAAACAAATGCAAAAGAGTTGAAATCATCCCTTGCATGTTATCGGATCATAGCGCTCTAAAATTAGAAATTAATGATAAAAGATACTGCAAAAATCCCGCAAACACATGGAAACTGAATAACACACTCTTGAGTAATCAGTGGGTCACAGAAGAAACTAAAGAAGAAATTAAACAATACCTAAAAGAAAATGAAAATGCAGATACAACTTACCGCAATCTGTGGGATGCAATGAAAGCCGTCCTGAGAGGAAAATTTATTGCACTGAGTTCCCACATCAGGAAAACAGAACGAATACAAATAAATAACTTGATGCTACACCTCAAACAGCTAGAAAAAGAAGAGCAAGTCAAGCCCAAAGCCAAAAGAAGAGAGGAAATTATAAAAATCAGAGCAGAAATCAATGCAATAGAGACTAAGAAAACAATCCAAAGAATCAACGAATCAAAGAGTTGGTTCTTTGAAAGAATAAATAAAATTGATAAGCCCCTAGCCAACCTTATTTAAAAAAGGGAAGAAAAAGCTCAAATTCATGCAGTAAGAAATGAAAAAGGTGAAATCACTACAGACCCAATAGAAATACAGAAGATCATCAACACCTATTTCGAAAACCTCTACTCTCAACAGTTTGATAACACAGAGGAAATAGACATATTCCTAGAAACATATGAAGTACGAAAGCTAGATCAAGAGGATGTAAAACTGTTGAATAACCCAATCTCTGTTAATGAAATTGAAAATGTAATTAAGTCCTTACCCACCAAGAAGAGCCCGGGCCCAGATGGATTCACTGCAAAATTCTACAAGAAATACAAAGAAGACCTAATGCCGACACTCCTCAAACTATTCAATGAAATTGAAAGGGAAGCAATCCTTCTTAAGTCATTCCTGGAAGAAATATTACTCTAGTACCAAAACCTGAGAAAGACCCAACTAAAAAAGAGAACTATAGACCAATCTCCCTAATGAACACAGATGCAAAAATCCTCAATAAAATATTGGCAAATAGGATCCAGCACATCATCAAGAAGATTATACACTATGACCAAGTGGGATTCATCCCAGGAATGCAAAGATAGTTCAACATACGTAAATCAATAAATGTAATCCTCCATATCAATAAAGCCAAAAGAAAGAATCACATGATCATTTCTATACATACAGAAAAAGCCTTCAATAAGGTCCAACATTTATTCATGATAAGAACTTTACAGAAAATTGGGATAGATGGTCTTTACCTCAATATAATAAAGGCCATTTGGACAAACCAACAGCCAGCATCATACTAAATGGCCAAAAATTAAAAGCCTTTACTTTAAAATCAGGCACAAGACAAGGATGTCCTTTATCACCACTTCTATTTAATATAGTACTGGAAGTACTAGCCAGAGCAGTTAGGCAAGAGAGAGAAATAAAAGGGTTAAAGATAGGAAAAGAAGTTAAATTATCATTGTTAGCAGATGACATGATTCTCTACATAGAAGACCCCCTAAACTCCATTGAAAGACTCTTAGATACAATAAATAAATTCAGTAATGTGGCTGGAAAAAAATCAATACTCAGAAATCAAAACATTCCTATACATGAACAACAAAATCACAGAGAGGGAAATAAGAGAAACTACACTCTTCACATTAGCAAGCAAAAAAATGAAATATTTAGAAATTACTCTTATGAAAGAAGTGAAAGACTTATACAGTGAAAATTATAATACACTGAAAAAAGAAATTGAAGATGATCTCAGAAAATGGAAAGACATCCCTTGCTCATGGATAGGAAGAACAAACATTGTGAAAATGGCCATTCTCCCAAAACTGTTATACAGATTCAAGGCAATCCCAATAAAAATACCATCAACATACCTTATAGATCTAGAGAAATCACTCCTAAATTTCATCTGGAACCAGAAGAGACCTATAATAGCAAAGGCAATTGTAAGCAGCAAAGACAAAGCAGGAGGCATCACAATCCCTGACTTGAAGTTATACTACAAAGCAACAGTAGTAAAATCAACATGGTATTGGAATCAAAACAGAGCCGTAGATCAATGGAATAGATTAGAAGATACAACCACAACTACAAACACACTCAACCACCTTATCTTTGATAAAGGAGCCAAGCAGGTTCACTGGAAGAATGACAGTCTCTTTAATAAATGGTGCTGGAAAAACTGGCTCTCCATTTGCCGAAAACTAAAGCTAGACCCATGTCTATCACCATGTACTAAATTAAAATCTAAATGGGTCAAAGATCTGAATATTAAAACAGAAACACTAAATCTATTGGAAGAGAAATTGGGTAGAAACCTTGAAGACATAGGAGTAGGTAGAGAATTCATGAACAGGACTCAAACTGCACAGGGAATACTTCCCAGAATCAATAAGTGGGACCACTTTTTATTAAAAAGTTTCTGCATGTCAAAAGAAATCTCCAGCATAGTGAAAAGAAAACCCACAAACTGGGAAAAGATTTTAGTGAACTCTCTCTCATACAAGAGACTCTTGTCTAAAACATATAAAGAATTTAAAAATCTCAGACCCCCAAAATTCAAAGACCCAATCCAAAAAATGATCATTTGAGATGAATATGCACTTCTCAGATGAAGAAATGCAAATGGCAAATAAATACATGAAAAAATGTTCATCATCATTGGTCATTAGAGAAATGCAAATTAAAACCACACTGAGATACCATCTCGCTCCTGAAAGAATGTCCAGGATCAAGAAAAACAACAACAACAAATGCTGGAGAGGCTGGGGGGAAAAGGAACTCTCCTACACTGTTGGTGGGAGTGTAGACTGCTGCAGCCTTTGCGGAGGTCAGTCTGGAGATTTCTCAAAAAGCTGGGATTGGAAGTCCCATTTATTCCAGCTATTCCACTTCTAGTCATCTTCCCAGAAGAACTGAACACATCATACCACAGTGATATATGTGCACCTATGTTTATAGCAGCACAGTTTGTAATTGCCAGATCTTGGAAACAAGCCAAGTGTCCATCAACTGAGGAATGGATAAAAAAGTTGTGGTATTTCTATACAATGGAGTATTATTCAGCTATAAAGAAGGATCACATTGAGATATTTATCAGTAAATGGGCGCAGCTTGAGACCGTACTCATAAGTGAAAAAAATGAATCTTGCATGTATGAATACCGAATAGTTTCCCTAATGTAAGTAGTGATTCAATTATATAATAATATTGAAACCTTGAAAAGGCCTTGAAACCTTATAAAGTTTTCACTTATTAATTGGAAAGGCTTTATTCTGGGCTTCTTCATATGGAAATATTTGAAGCTATAGTATATGAAGTTTTATTCAAATATTTCAAGGAAAAAGACAGACACTATGGTAACTACTATTAAGTCGGGTTATCTGGTGGTGAAGCACTAGGTTGCTGAAACAGTCATGCTTTGACCTGTATTGTTATATAGTTATGTCCTGTTTTATCTCAATCTCTCCCTTATTCATTAAAAAATTATTTAGTTATTTTTTATGTTTTTTTTAGTTAAGGGGAAAATTTGGAGGAGTTAGCAGGATGTATGGTGGTAACTTTTTTTGATTCCCTATTGACTTGTTTTGAATTCCTGTAGTGCTCCCGCTATCTTGTTTTGACTGATTAGAGTCTGTTCTGTTCTGTGTGATAGTGTCAAGTTTGAGGGTGTAGGCAACTACTTTGAGGGCAGTGGGATTCACTAGGATGCCCATTCTGGTTTGACTGTTGTCTCCTTTTGAAGTCCTGTAATGTTTACAGTGCTTGGGTTTTGTTGGTCTTTTCTCTACTGTTTTGTTCAACTTTATGATATCTGATGAGATAGACAATTCTTTTTAAGGAAACAAGGGACATTGTTGATGACCATTGTTGATAACCTTGTACTCTGTTTTGCATCATGTGCTATGTCTATCCTTGGTTTGGACTGATAGCTTTGTTTTGCCATGTTTGACTTTACCCCCCCCCCCCAAAATCTAAGAACTAAGGAGTAATAACACCCAAAATGTGTAAATTTTGTTGCAAAAAAGAGAGGGAAAAAAAGAGTTCTAAGGCATACAACAGCAAGTGTGCTTAGGGGTGTTAAATAGCTGACCATATTGATGTTTTTGGTTGGATCATTGAACACAACTGTTTGCGGTCTCACTGTTTGAATGTCCACTTTGTATGCTTTGATGCTGTGATTTGAGCAGCCGTCTCTGGGATGATGGTGTGTAATTCTATTGACTGGTGATTTCTTGCTGGTTTTTTTTGTGGTTCTGTATTACTTGTACCCTTACACTGCTTTGTTTTGTTTTGTTTTTTCTCTTTTTCCTTTTAAATAAAATTTTTAAAAATGTCAGAAAGAAATACCTAAATTAAAAAACAGTATAAAATTCATATATTACAAAAATAACAGGAATGACCAATATAAAAGCAGAGTATAGCATATTGAGGACAAAGTAGTGAATTAGAAAAAAAGAGGTCAGAGAAGAAAAAAAAGGTGTGAAGACCTGCCAGCAATTACTAGATGAAAAGAAAAAAGACCAGTCTAAGGCTAATCAGAGTTAGAGTAAAACTAAAAGTACAGATAGATTCACTAACATGCTTACAGAAATTATGAAAGAAAAAATTTCAAATATAAAAAAGAGTTTAAAATATAAATGACACTAATGGAGCATCAAGCAATTATACTGAAAAAAGAAGCTCACTAAGGCATAACCTTATTAAATTACCAAGCATTTAAAAAGAAACCAGAATATTTTTTGTGTTAAAAATAATCTTTATTTTTTACAGCTAATACATGCATTACAGGAAACAAAAACACAGGTAGCAAAGAAAGAAGTCATTCATAGTCATAAGCAGCTTAGCTGGATGTATTCTTCTAGGTCTTGTGTTTACATACATGACTGCCATTTTGTGTACCAAGTT